ACCTACAGTTTCAGAGTTTCTCAATTTGACTGTATTTTTTTGATTTGATGACCCTTTTTTTTGTTGGAAAGAGGGTATCTCAGTAATCAACATCATCATATCAGCCGGAAGACGTCCACTGCTGAACATAAGCCTACCCCAAAGAATTCCAGACTAGCCGATCGGACGCCACATGCATCCATTGGATACCCGCCGCCCTTACCAGGTCATTCGTCCATCTAGTAGGGGGTCATCCCACTGAACGCTTCCAGTTCGTGGTCTCCATTTGGGAACCTTTCTGCCCCAACGGCCGTCAGTTCTACGAGCTGTGTGCCCTGCCCACTGCGACTTCAACTTGCTAATGAGCTATGTCGGTGACTTTCGTTCTTCTACGGATCTCCTCATTTTTGATTCGATCACGTAGAGAAATGCCGTGCTCCAAAGCTCGTGGAGTGACTTTGAGCTTTCTTATGAGGACCATAGTAAGTATTTCTCCTCTAAGGGTGGCAAACTAGGGGATGAATCCGGTTTCGCGCATTTTCCGGTAACCGATTGTTAACTTTTTATTTTCAATTTGTATGTATATATAAGGAAAGTTCAAAGACGGTTCCTTTTTTTAATGAAATACTTTATTTAGCATTTTTCTTAATATGTTTTTGAGGCTTCTATATAATTTTTAATTTTAGTTAATTTTTAATTATTACACGAAATAAATAGTTCGAATATCGAACAATGATTATAACGATATATGTACATAAAATACTATGTACATGTAACAGTATTTCGTAATACAATTCCGGTTTGGTAACGCCTTCAGAACTTATTTAAAAAATCGTCCCCAAAAGTCGCTGTTGTTAATGAAATCCTTGTGCTGTATGGACAAAGTAGATACTTCGCGATTTTGGAACCTAAGGTCAATGAGATATTTTGGTCAAACCGGACGATTGAGTTGTAAATCCATAAGGTTCATTATAATTTCCACGTGACCTTACACCATTATGCGTGTTTGGTAAATCTTGTTTTTAGTTTCATACAAATAGTGAATCAAGTGAGACGCGAAAATTTTGTTGTTTAGTTGTATATAAATAATGGAATGGTACCGCCCAAAATCCGAGATTGGTAAATATTATTATTTAGTATTATAGTGTGTACGTTGCGTAATATGGTTATTTTACTGTAATAATAATTAAAAATCATGAGTAAACAAATATTAATTTATTAAATTAAGAAATTAAGTGTTGAAATTAATGAAAAGCATTTCAATATTTTGTAATTATTTTCAAATAATTTTAAAACGTGTATAATAGCTAATGCTTTCTGTCTTCAACGTATAATAATAATATAAAAAATTGCCAGACCATCACATTAACACCAAGTCTCAAGTTAGGGAAACTCATCGAGTTTAAAACCAGAGATAGAGACGAAATAAGGGCCATCCATCCCTGGCGACTCATCAGGCAAATAATAATAATAATATAATAATAAAGCACACATTCAACATGGCCCCGCACTAGGGAAACCCTGGGTGCCATGGACACACACATAGACAACCACAAATTACACCCAAACTCACGAGGGAAATAAATGTAGGCCATACAAATATTTCTCCCGGCCCGGGAATCGAACCTGAGACGTCTGCGTGGCAGTCCGGCATGGCAACCGTTCGGCCACGGAGGCAACGGGCCTTGTATCACTTTTAAATATCAACTCTCGTTTGAATTGAAATATAGTACAGCGCCAACAACTGACCTGTGTATACGTCTCCGTATATTCCAAAAATATTCTGTATTTATTGTAATAAAACCTCTAACCATGGAGGGCTGTTCCATTTGGTCGTTTGGGAAAACAGCAGGACATCTAATTAAAAAACAAATGGAATCACGTGTCATCGGTAATAAAATATTAAATACAATGTAATTTTTAAATTTTCGTCCATTATAACAAAGCTCAAATTGGTCGTTTTGAAGTGAAACAATTGATGACACCCGTCAATTGTTTCGTATCGGGCTGGCCAATCGGAGCGCAGTTGTCACCGTAATGATTTGGCAGAATAGTTTTCAAAGAAATGAAATGACGTTTCGATTCTATTTCTGGTTATATACTCGATGGGAAACCCTTGTACTAAGTACGAAACTAACCGGGGTACTTTATAGAAAACCCAGACGGCCCAAATCTACTACTTTTTTTGAAACCACTGGTTAGTGTAATTTGATTGAGACTCCTCTAACATTATTTTTCTGAAATCTAGTTGCAGTGACAGTTGAATTTCACTAGAGTTGATGGCATTCATTCATTCAATCACAAACGATTGATGTTGCCTTAGTAAAACTATCATGGATATTACTATACATATCTTAATTTTTAACTTATTTAATCAGCAATTTAGTGTTCAATTATTTTTTTCACGACGAATAAGTTGTGCGCCTGATGATAAGCGACATGCCTGTCCATAACAGTTGCAGTGCTATTCAGAGCTTTTAAACACAAAGATCTGAGAGGCACTGCTACTGGGCTCGTCATACTGAGACGTAAGGTGATAAGTTTAATGTGCTTGTAATTTAACCAGCACTCTTACCCTTGAAACTTTCGCACAGTACTGCTTGGCGGCACAAATAGGTAAGGTGGCAGTACTTCCCTGGACGAACTCTTTTACAAGGAGCTCTACTGCTACTTAAAATAATTTTATGATAGTATATTATAGTATAGTAGTTGAACAGTAGCTCAATGGCTAGCCACTGAGAAGCCTATTTTCTTTTATTTCTACCGCGTTCCGGTTTACAAGGGTAAGGGCGCTGGTGAAATCACATATAGTGATATATATTGCATATAGTGATATATAGGATTCTGCAGTATAGAAACACTTCTATATCATGTAAATAGCTCTTCGATTAATGGTAATTTATCAAAAAACCTTAGCCTAGACTCAGTAAATCATAATCGAACTATGTTAAATATAGCGATCCAACAACATAATTGTAGAATGCTTTCAACAAGGAGTCCAATATAGCAGTACAATTTAAAGAATGTAGCAAATACATCGAATTTCAAAGAGTAGCAATAGAGCTCCTTGTGTGCCGCCAAGCAGCAATGTTAGCATTTCTGCGTTACGGTTTTAAAGGGTTATGCCGTTGAAATTACGGGCACGTGGGACTTGTCGACTTATGTCTCAAGGTGACGGGTGCAGTGGAAGTGCCCCTCAAATTTTTGCTATTTAAAGTTCTGCTATGCCAGCCGTGTCGCTTAACACCAGACATACGACTTGTTTTCAAAGTTAAATAATCTTTATTTCAGATGTAAGCAATTTACACTTGAAATCGTCATACTGATTAAACTCTACTGCTCATTCGTAAGTCAGATTCCCCTGAGAAGAACGAGCAAGAAACTCTAGGGGTTGCTAATATTACTATATTTCATCTATCATATATCTTAGATAGCGAATGCCTAAAAGAGCTAAACGGGTCACTACCACGGATTTTTGTCATCCAAGTACGCAGAAGTTGTATAATAATTTCCTTCTGAAGTTGTAAAACATATGATTTCCTTCTCGTTACTGAGTGTCTCATATTTTGCTATCTGAACAAATGTTCTACAGTCACAAGTTCTCAGGTTTTCGCGATTGTTACCCATAGAAATGTAATAACTTCAGCCGTGACCATGAAACGCGTAAAGGTACTGAAACGTTAGTTTCCATGAAAAAACAAATAGTTCTACAGTCACTTTTAATGATATTATGTAAATAGGTGCGTTAAACTTAATTAAATAAGATCATTAAAGTTTGTAAGAAACTTTAAAGGACGTGTCACGTCCCTTCGTAGGCTAATTTTGGTTTTGACTTCTCGTGACATAAATTTTTCAAACTTCTACAGTGTGTTTAACTTCTTTCCAAATTTGTATTAGAAGTTACTTATGGAGGAATATATGTTTTTTTTTTAAATTAATCGCATAGATGCAGAGATGTAATTAGCTGTTTTTATAATAGCTTTCATTTGAGTGAACGAATACTTTTTTTTGTTGTGTTGCTTTAATTACCTTCTCATTATTTGTAGGTGTGGCGATAAAGCTGTCTATAGAATTGAACAGTACACCCGGCAACACATTGAATGTATATACAGTATCTATCACTTTATAATATTGCAAATTAGATCGCGGCGAGACGCCATATGGTTGAATTTGAAAATGAAAATTTTGACGGTTTCTACTCGGCTGAGTAATTTACCGTATCATAAGTTCCTAATATCATCATGACATAATTATTATATAAATCAAGGGTTGTATGCACAGGCCACATAAATTTGTATTATATAAGGCCACCTTATGGTTTCAAGCCACCTGTCAGAGACCAAGGACTCTACGACCATACACATGACATATAATAATGTATTACGATGACGACTATGGTGGCTTAGCGGCTAGCACTATGAGCGTTAAGTGAGGTCTCGGTTTCTATTCCAGGAATGAGTTATTTGGGAATTCACCTTTTCTAAATTATTTCTCGTTTGTGTGTTCTGAGTAATGTCCTCGGTGTTAATTACTATCTTTTGGTACTTAAAAAAACACTGATTCCCTAGTTGAAAACCAGGTGTGGTTGTTGTGTGTGTGCTTAAAATTAAGATCAACATATGTAGAATGCTATGTAGTCAATCCAATTCATCAATGATTTGCTTCTTCGAATCAATCAAATGGTAATGCGTTCCCATTCCTATTACTTACATTAGACATTTTTATTAACAATGTTGTTCAAGCTATGACTGCTCCAAATATCTCGAATCTCAAATATGCGACCGCAATCTGTATAAAACTACTTAAAACGAATCAACCGCACTATTCGTATTTTTATGCCATTGAAATCAACAAGTAATTTGTGCGTATACGCAGTAAGCACGACCACAAGCTTACGTAAACAAACTTTAAATGTTGACATTGAAAGTTGAACCTTACGGCGTTTCGTCGCGTCCTAATTTGTAGTATCGAAAAGTTACATTGTATACTTCATTGTATGGACGGGTGTACCATTCAATTCTGTAGATAGTTTTATCGTCATACTTACAAATAATGACCGAGTAATTTTTTGCAATATAACAAACAAAAAAAATTCGTTCTATCAAATGAAAGCAATTGCAGTTGTACAATAAATTCCATTCAAATCACACGTATAGTTTTTTAAAATATTTCTCTACTTACATTTCGTTCAGTAAACTTATACCTATTTGTGGTAAAAACCAGTTAATTCAAAACAAATATTTGCACTTAGTCAATGCGAACTTAAACTTATAAAGGCTGTTGGTGATTAACTTAGACATGATACGGGCTTAAGTGACGAACATAGTTTATTCTCAAGATGATACCAGACGAAACCTGTGCTGTACTTCTCAATCGATATGGTAATTAATTTATACAACATGAGACAATTTTAATTTAATACGCTAAAATCAAATTCCACGGAATAAATACAATGTTGTGTTTTTCATATAATTTATTTCCATATATTTACATTCTAATATGGTTAATACTTTTTAAAATAGTGAGAAAAGGCTACCTTTGGCCCATTTTAATTAAAATAAAAAACAACAACATATTTTGATCCTTGAACACTTCTTACTCGTAAATATTAATCGATTTTGTTTAATATTTATTGTACGCAGGTAGATTAAAAAAGTTTTAAAAACTGTTTATAAATAGGATTGATGCCAAAATTTGTTTTTTCCTGTTTACGAAATTTTGAATTCCAATTTTACCTATAATTGTATTCATTTATATCTTTCAGATCCCGAACTCCTCAACACATTCAAGGCAGAGATGTCTTACGGATTCCAGAGATTTTTCTTCTTATCCTACTGCCTGGCGTGCTGCTGGCCAGGACTCGGCGCCAAAAGCAACCTAAGGGTGATCAGGCAATGGGCTGAGTTGGAATTCGCCTTCCCTGATGAAGAAACCAAGCAGGTTGCTTTGACCAAACGGCATTACGTGCCGGGGAACTCCGTGCCTATTGACGTAGATGTTCAGCATAGACAAGGTAAGTCACAAGTCGACTTATTCATTGCAATATGGATTCGTATAACTTTTCAGAAATAATTTAATGTTAAGCATATGTAAATTAAGTTACTAAAACTACGTTTAAATATAATTAAAAAACCATGTCCGCGTAAACACACTACATGTCAACTCAGAACGCGTCACTTCAAAGGTAAACAAAAAAAAATAAGGTACACAATGTGCACTTGCTACTTGCGAGAGTTTTACTTATTGATTAACCTACTGTCCTAAATATAGAGCCCTTACCGCACAGTTACGCGAGGTGAAAGTGTTCGCGCGGTCGCCGCGCGGCAACCGCCCAATTACCTCGCCTTCAGGTGCTATGGTTATTCTGAATTCTATTTACTAGGCAACAAATTTAAATTCCTCCGAATAGTACAACTGCGCGGTCGGCGAGCGGAGTCCGCGTTGATGCCGCGCAGCGACCGCGTACGTCTAACTGTCATGGCGAAATACGCTCGTTTGTACGTACACAAACATTCTTTCGAACTATATTTCAGATTTTTTTGATTATTGCCCGATTACCTATTATAAAAATTAATTTATCATGGGTAAATAAATAACATGAGCATATTTGCAATTCACAATACTCGCCTCGTGTGTTCTACACGTACACCTCTCAATATCTCCCAGTGAACATACATGAATGCATCGGTTTATAGGTATTCTGGGAAATATACTTAATATATAAAATATAACTTATCTACCTTACGATAGGTTTTTTAAAAATGTCGATTTCTTTCAGAAATAAATTCGAAAGCAAACTTTCGTAGACGTAAACTTTCAATTTCACTCCATAGCCGTTCGCCAAATAAACGTGGAAGCGTAACGCTTCTTGCGAGTCCTTGAAATATCCACAACATTGGGATGGAACCCCAGCCTACGTCAAGTCCCCCGATGATGGAAAGCGGAAGGCGGAATTAAATCGTGCAATTTCCTAGCACCCGCTCCGTGATACATCCTGTACAAAACTGACAAGCAGGCAACATAAATGCGGTGTTCAAGGGTCTGCTATATAATAAGCGTATATCCGACGTCAAGCTATGAAAGAGCAGAGATTGCAGATCCTGCCTTGAAGTAGTTTATGTCCTTTACTGAGTACATGACTCTCGTTACTTGGCAAGGACATATTTCAGCCATAAGATATCAAAACAATCAAAGTCCAAGAAAATCCTACAATTATTTAAAGCTGTTGATTTTGGCTAGAGGTGGGCATTTAAACGAAGAGCACTTAAGTAAGTTTGCTTTTTAATGTAAGCAAGCTAATAATTTAAAGTTATAAGTATATTATTATTTTCATTTCTCGCAACATGTCTAAGTATCAAGTCCCACCATCCATGTTTCCAAAACAAATGAATTCGTCAATGTGAATAATCATTTTATAAATAAAAATAAAACTCGTCTTACACAAATAAACTTACTTATGTTACAATCTTTAGTAGCCTACTCACTGTCAACACAATGTTCCAAGCTTTTTTAGCATAGAGTCACGGCTTAAATGTTTTCGTAAACGTTTTTGTAAGCTCAAACTGGAAACGCTTAAATGAATTATAAACAAGTGCCAATTATAAATAAGTACGAGGAAATAAAAAGAACTATGGACCATAGAGTAATAATTATTGACAATGAAATTATTCAATGAAACCTTTTTATTTGTACGAAGTTACGCCATAATAAACTTGTTTACAAAAAAGGTTATAAACAAGTTTAATATAGTTCGGTGCATTAAATATATATACCAGTACATACTCTGCGTGCAAAATTAAAATGCAGGTTACCATTTCGAAATTGGTCAATGATTTATCTTTAACACTATTGAATGAAATCTGCATGTATACTGGGGGTTGGTTTCTAGAATAAAATTACGTTCGAAATACACATTATAAGCACGACAATTATACTTATTACCTGGTCTTAAACTAGAGAATTCCCTGTACTAATATTACCAAGGCAACAGAATTCACTATGGAATACTACTCAGAACACCCAGACAAGAACTGTAGAAAGGTTAATATCCTAAATTGGTCTTACCAGTAATTTTGTTGTTGTTGTAGTGGTACAATATCAGAAAAATCATTTCATCCCAATTCGCAACTAATGCTTTTGTACCGACATTTTTTTAATAAAAGGTTCAATATAATATTATGGACGAACGAAAGAACTGTGGCAAAACCATAGTTATAAGAATTCGTTAGTTCAAATGTGTTAATTACAAGTTTTAATAAAATAAATAAATTAGGTTTTTCAAATTATAATAGCGGCCTATCTAAGTCTGGAAATAAAATCATATTTAAAAGAAACTCTAATGACTCATTAGTATGTAACCGGACTGATATCTACAACATCAGTTTCTTAGTTTCTTAACGTTGAGCGACATCTAGCCGCCAAAAAAGGAATTTCAGTACTTACATATGGCTTAGATCCACATTTAGTTCACGTAATATCAAAAGTACTGATTCGACCTATTTGTAATAAGTTAATAAAAGATTAACTACTTAATTGTGATCAGGAATTTCTACTCTATATTTTCACATATTTTTCATAAACAGACGCATACAAATTATGACAACAAAAATTTATATGGGAGTTTGCCGTTGTCCTTTACCCAAGTACATTGTTATACCAACATAGAGTCGAGGTCATTCACGCTCTCAGTGTTTTCTTATAAGGGATATTTACATAACAAATAACTTGTATAATAATAAATACAAGCTTATATACACACTTCTTAGTTTTTATGGGAAAATTTAAATGATTCATTTACACAGTGGTTTTTCTTGACTATTTACAAGTATTCATTCACACCTGTGGCTTGTGGTGAATAGATTTACAACTTTGTGACGATTACTTTTGAACACAAGTCATTTTAGTACCAGTAGAGCTCCTTGTATAACAGTTTATTTAGAGAAGTACTGCTACCAGGCGGTAATATGAGCTTTACTGCGGTCCGGCTTTAAAAGGGTCCTGGTGAAATTACAGGCACTTGGGACTTATCAACTTATGTGCAACGTGACGAGCGCAGTGGCAATGCCCCTCAGATTTTTGCGACTTAAAACTCTGAGTGACACTACAGGTGCACGACTTGTTTGTTCAGTCACTGTGTGTCATAAAAAAGGACTTAGTTAGCATGCTCTACAAAAAATACGAAAGTAAACACACCAATGTCCTGGTTATAATCTGAGGAGGAGTTTCTGTAATACACGAGTACCGAAGTATGTCTGGGAAATATATACAAAATTAAAGTCAAAATATCATTTAATCTATAAGTAAAATAAATTTTGCACTTGAACTTCTTTTTTTCAAGCTACTGCTCACTCACGGTGCTGCCTAAGAAGAACGCGCAAGAAACTCTAAGGGTTGCTCTTTTAAAATAAACCTAAATGCTATGGGAATACACTTTGAATCAAATTTGTGTGTAATCTAGAGCCATGTCTTCTTTCCATACATCTATATCTGAAACGTAGTCTTCAATTTTGTGATACGATTTTTCAATCAAGATACTATTGATGTAAGTTTTAAACTTAGGAAATGATCATCTTAATATACGCTCCGGAATTTTACTGTAAAAAAACGTATTAATACTGTTTCCCATAAAAGAGTCATTTAAGTACCTTAGATAAACAAAATCGTGGTATCGTGAATTTGGACTCAATTCCAAGATTATCAATATATTCTTTCATAATGAAATTATGTATATTATATATTTCCAAAATTACCCAGAACGCTTAACAGCTTTGTAAGGTTCGAGAGTGATACTTCAGCTGCAAGCCGACATTTAATCCTTGATTTATACTACATTTAAAATTCTTAGTTTTACTGCAAAATATTTTTATTGAAAATCTAAATAGATATACAGTTATTGTTTATTATAATTAGTATTAACGATTAGCAGCTCAAATAGTAGAAGTAGAGGTCCATGTGAAGCTAGATTTTTAATTCAAGATCTTATAATGTTGATCAAAGGACTAAAGAGGCGGGTGTCAACTAACTACCCGCACTTCGTCTTCGTTATTTATTTGTGCACTAGGGTTGATACTAGACCGACACACAACACTCACAATCCGACGACTTGTCGGGCGATACTTGATGTCGTTTGTATTTGCTGATAACTGAATCCCACGACGATGAAAGCTTAAAACCGTTTTCTTTTTTTTTAGTTTCAACAATTCTACTGAATAATGCATAAACATAAAGTGCATCATTTAATCCCTAGGGTGTAAAAAACCCTAGTTTTTTAAATTTACTTCGAGTGACCTAGACAAATTCAAATAGCCAGTATTTACTCTGGTTTGTGTCAAAATGTAAAAGTTCAATAAGTGAAACAATATAATCGTAACTAAAACAACACTTAAAAATAACCACAAAAAATGTTTTACAAAAATTTAACATGATGATAATTCATCAAAGTAAATAAACCTACAGTTTCACAGAGGTCGCAGCGCTGCGGAAACTCTATAAGAAAAAGTGCTCGTGTGTAGTTTTGTAATTTCATTACGAAAATGTTACATTCTAAGACTACGCTCGGTTTTAGTTCCGTGCCTGTTCCTCATAGACGGTAGAGCCATATTATACTATCCTGCGTTAGTGTGTTTGTGTATGGACCATTTTAGTGACGCGACGTAGCGTTTAAATCGTTCGAAACACGCTCAGAATTGTTAAATACCGCTAATCGTGGCGTTTTGTCGCGTTTGTTGTATCTGTATGTGGTTGAAAAAAAAAATACGGCGTCAACAAAATTTTGGTACCTATCGTGATTTTGTTGTAGAGCGTAAACGATTGAATAAATTTTTTTACGAAAGTAAAGTTTTCGCCTCAAGAATAAGAGCCAATATAAACCCTCGGAGTACCTAATAGACGCCCTCGCTAAAGCCGGCTAACCACCTCGCGTATATATTGGCTCATTTTAGTGTATACATAAAAATATACTATTAAGTTCCGATTTTTTTAATCAATTAATATACAACACAAAACATAAATCCC